GTTGGGAGCAGTGTCCCCATTGTGCTAGGCACTGTACAAATAAAGAATGAGACAGGCAGCCTTCTCTTTTCTAAGTGATGGTGGTTTAAACATGACTCAAATGTTTTCTATTCTGAACTATTTTAGAAATATCAAAATCCTTACGTAATGATTGTACAAATCCACACCAAGTCTTTTAGGCTAACATCTATTTGGTCTTCATGTATTTCTAAACATGTCTAAAGTAAATTCTTGTTAGGAGGAAAAGTTGTAAAAGGAAAGACTAAAATCGTCACAAAACATGGCAACCTTCTTTTTAGTGGCCATAATTATGTAATTTGAGTTTGTTGAACAGCATGAAGTATACTGTTGTTCAGTGGTGTATGTAAACAGGACTTCTGAAGGTACTCAGCTTGCTTGCTAAATTCAAAGAATAAAGCATCATCAGCTTTAAATATTCTCTCCTTATATGTGGTGTCTAGCTTATCTTTTTTTTTTTACATACAAAATGCTTTTAGTTACAGAATCACTGACGATGGAACAGTGGTGTTGCTGTACTTACTCAAACAATGAATCTTCAAGTTTATACTTTTTATCCTTTGTTGTTGCCATTTTTGAACAAAAAGGGTTTTTTTGTTGGATTTTTTTTTAAAGTGTGCTTTCTTATTTTGTGTCACAGGACGAAGCATCTATGGAGAAAGGTTTCCAGATGAGAACTTCAAACTCAAACACTATGGAATTGGATGGGTTAGCATGGCTAATTCTGGCCCAGACACCAATGGATCCCAGTTCTTCATCAGTGTGACAAAGCCTTCCTGGTTAGATGGAAAACATGTAGTATTTGGCAAAGTCCTTGATGGAATGGTAAGCTAAAAGTAGTAGCAAGATTAATCCAAGAAAATCTGCACAAATTCTGCCACCTTATTATCTGTGTTAGTGTAACTTACACCATTGTGGTGCAAAACAATCGAGTGTTTATCTAATATGTACATGGTAGAAAATGATTGTGAAGAGCCTGGAGCTGGACAATTTAGAACTGAAATAGCAAATGGTGACCGCAGAAATGGAAACTTAAATCATGCCTTTGGCTTTCACAGCTGTTGTTTCAGACCACTAACCACTGAAATCAACACTGACACCTTTGCAGATTACAAACGGAGTAAGTTCAGGTCCTCCTTTCACTAACGCTGTTAGCCATGGAATAATTGTGTTTCTACAAGCTAAAATCTAATTTTGTAGCATGTTCTAGTTATGGATAACACTTTCACTGTTAGGGTTTTTAGAATCATGTGAATGTAAAGTATACAAAGACACACATTCAGATCTGTTAAAAAAAATAATCTAGTTAATTGCCTCAAACTGTACGCAGCTGCAAAACTGATCAAAGGCCAAATAAAACTTAAGTTTAAAAATGGTACTTCCAACTGATTATAATTTTAGTAGTCTGGTTTTCCTTTTTAATTCCTAAATTTTAATTCCTAAATTATTCCATTTAATCTCTGGTTTGAAATGAATGGGGGAAACATGAAGTGCTGCACTGACCAGTTCTTTGAGGACTTTGAAAACCACATCAGAACACTTGCCCTCTACTCCCACATTCATACTGAATTCAGTTCTCATGAGCTACAGTAGTAGCTGAAAATTGTTGAGGAGAAACTTTGATTCAGTTTTAGTTTAGTTAGATTAATGGACAAATATCCAAAGCCAGGTTGTCAATACTCCTAACTGAATTTTGGCCTTTAAAAACACTAATTAGTTGCCTAGCTTGAGGCCAGTAGTTTACCTCCAGTGTGACTGGAGGGCATGGTACCACACCTAAAATCTGTGTGTGTGTGTCTTATACTAAAGATAAAAGCAGTCACCAGATTTCTTGAAGCACAGTTGTGCTGTATGATTAGAAAAATAAATACTATGCATCCTTTATGATCTCTGGATTCACTTCGTGCTCATAGGCTACAGATAGACACTGTATGTCTTAGGCCAATCAGCTGAAAGGATATTTTCAGTTGCCTCTTCATAATATTTTTGTTGGCTGAATGTTTTTATAGAAGGGCAAACAGCCTTCCATGTGCTTCTGCCAGTTGTGTGTGGGTTGCAGAGCGGCGCAACTGTTGCGGGGGGTGGGGGAAGAAGCATGTAGGAACTCAACAGGGTAAAGGTCTTTGTTCACAAGTTCCTTAATAAATAGTAATGCTAGGAGCTCTTAGTTGTCTACCTGGTACCAGACTTGAGCCACTGGAGTTTCCTTGGCTAAACTGAACTTTTTTTTTTTTTTTCTTTTTTTCAAACAGTCTGTGGTGCACTCGATAGAACTCCAGCAGACAGATGAACATGACCGGCCCCTTCGAGACTGTGTGATTGTGAACAGTGGCAAAATAGCTGTGAAAGAACCCTTTGTAGTTGAAGTGGGTGACTGGTGAGACCGACAGGCAGTATGGACTTAAGTAAAACTTAAGTCAGTTTTCTGTAAGGCCTGTTTTTGACTGATCTCAACTATCCATTGAGTTTTCTCCTCAAAACATATAAGGCTATATTTAGACAATACTTATCATTTGCAAAATACATAAAAGATGTGACCATTTCCATAACAACGTGATGGAACTGTCACGCCTTGAAATTCAAGACTTATCCCACTAAATCCTAGATCTTGCAGAAAAAATCTTGCATGAAAAATTTTAGAAGTACTTCTATTTTTTCAAGGTTTGAAATAAAGTCATTTTGTTCTCTTTGGAAATTTTTGCAGTATTTGTTTCCGCCTTTTCAACTGAAAATATTATTTTCTGTAACAGTATCAGCATTTTTAAAAATGAAAAAAAAAAAACCCACAAACCCAGAAGTGTTTTGAATAAATAAACTTTGATTTCAAATGAATACTTAACTAAAAGCTTTTTCTATTCTCCCCGCCAAAGGCTTTTTTTCCTCACCTCAGTTGATTCTGCAAAATATGCAGGGGGTGCTACTTTCCAGGAAACGGGGTTGTAAGGTTAGAGCAGAGATGGTAAATTTCTCTGATCTTAATGTGTCAGATAAAGTCCCTGCTGTCTTTCAAAAAACCACAGTATTCAGATACAATCCTGTAATCAAGAAAGAGCAGTTCTGTCTACTGTTAAATAAGATCATCAGTTAGTAACTGATAAAAAGAGAAGAGTCCTTGTTTTACAGCACGGTGAATTTTATAACACCTAGCTAATGTTATTTCTGGTAAAGCTCAGATGCTTTTTCTTGCAGTTTTGCTTTATGTCAGAGATGCAACTTCATGTCCATTATTTTTGTAATGCTTCTTAAATGACTTCTAAGCTGACAGCTTAACTGGCAGCTTTTAAACAAGGTCAGCGTAAGGTACCGCTCAGAGACAGCTGTCTTTGTTAGGCTCCCTAAAAAGTTACATAGTACTCCACGGGACAGAGATGTTTGTTTTTTTCTCCCGCGTTTCCAGTGTTTTAGAACTCAAGATAGGCGAGCCGATGCCAAGATCTGATGAAGGATTCATCCACTGGCACAGCAGGCAGCACACTGCTTATCTTTGTAGTGACTGGTTTCCTGAAGGGTGTCCTAGAACCCACGTGAAGTATACAGACTTTGCGTGGCACAGGGGAAGAGCGAGTACCACAGCACAGAGCTTGTAGGTACCTACTGGCAGCCCCTTCGCAAGGAGACGGGAAAATGCTGTGGGCAGGGGTTTACCTCAGGTCCTCCTGACACATCATTTGTAGTCATGAGTGCTTCTGCTGCCCATTCAGTCCTGGGGCCTCTCCTGAACATAAATACTGACACTTTTTTTCCAAAGACCTGTGAAAGGATTACCATCTTCTTTTTAAACAGAGCTAGAGGACAACTTGTCAAGGGCCTCTAAATTTGCCTAGTACTAGGCAATCAGACTTCCATTTCACGCCTGTTCATGTTTCCTTCTATTAACTGTTTAATGTAAAATTCTCTGAAAAACAGCGCTGTGAAGCAGTGTTAGGAAGTAACAGTGAGAATGCCTCAGACTCCCTCACCTAAATAGCTTTCCACTAGTAGCCTGAAAGCTTTCCTGGAGGTTGATCCTACAGACAGCGTAGAGAGTTCTGCCACGTGAACAAATGCTGCAGTCCCGGGCCTACCTTTTGTTCAAGTCCCAGCTTTTTACCGTTCCCCAAGCAGCTTTAAAACAGATTCAGTAGTCAGCAGGAGATAACGCATGCATCTCCAGGATCAGACTTATGTTCGTGTCCAGCTTTGCCATCACTGCTTTTGTGCAACACGCCCTTCCTCTGATGAGCCCAATGACTTATGGGCTGTTCAATTACACTGAATTTCCTCCCCCCACTCCCCAAGACATACACTGATACTAAGGCTAGCATGTTCAGATAGCACGGTGCTGAGACTTTTAAGTGAGTACATACCCAGGTATTTTCCCGTGTTTCATGTGGAGATACCCGTGAGACCCATCTCTGATGATGCAAGCTCAGAGAAATGTCTTGTTTGAATAGAAATGCACAAAAAAGACACTAAAATGGTACATTCGTGTTCTAGTAATTTATTTTGTAATGTCCAGTAGCACACATACAAACTTCCAGTTAAACCTGAACAAATATATATGTGTGTATATATATGTATCACTTTTAGTTTTATCATTGTACTACATATTAGCTTACCACAGAGTTGTATGCTCCGTGACTAATAAAATGTTAAGATATGGAATATAGTCTGCAAACCGACGTGAAGAATAAACGTACAAACACATTAGATGTCATAACTGAATGGAGATGCATAAATGCCACGTAAAATCTCCTAGTAGATAAAAGCATTTCAACTGAAATCTAGAAAATTTCCTGAGAGCTATGTATTTCAGAATGTGGAAGCATGTTTTCCAATAGAATCTCTCCATACACCTGCACTGGCTCTTTTCCAACCTGATATTAAGGAGCAGATTCAAAATAATTCAAGAAAAATGAACAAAACACTTTTTAAGTTGCTTTCATTTTCTTCTTGCTTTGATTTTTTTTTTTCTTTTGGCAATTTCTCACACTCTTCAGTGCCAGCACTTTTAATCCATCCACTGCCAGCAATGGGTAATGTGCTGGGAAAAATCCTGATGCAAAAAGGTTTAGTGTAATTTATGATAGAAATTACAGAAACAATTAGTAAAGCTTTCAATTGTTTTCAAAGGTTAGTGTAGTTCAGTGTATGACTTTCAGCTTTTAGTGTTAAATAGTTAGAGCATGTCAATATATAGAAGGTATAAATAACTTCAATACTGTTGTTTCCATATCTTTTTTTTAAAAGCAGCAATTGTAGTGACATTGATTTTGTTTAAAAAGATAATGCTTGAACTTAAACTGAGGTTGTGCCTCTTGCTTCTGAGTGTAATTTTCACATCACAGAATTTTATTCCTGTTAATTCCATCAAACATGACTCAGAGACTTGATTCAGCTTCTTCTAGCCTCGCGTCACATCTACCTGGGCAGTAAATGAGGATAAAATATTCCATGTAGAATGCCTTCTATAACCACGTTTGGGAAGTCATCTGGAAAGAAAGGAGAAAAAGAAAAAAAACTTGCTTGCTTATCTACCTCAGTACAATATAAATGTTTTTGTGAAACTTAACTAGGTAAGGCCTCGTGCAGTTTGGGTTACCGCATCACTCAACTGTTTATCCATGTTGGGGATGTGCTATTAGTAATGCTGTTTCAGCACTAAAGCCACTTTAGTGTAGCACTGGGCATTGCATGAATGCGCTGCCAGATTTGTAGCTTATTGATTTAAAGGGATGTTCTAATACTTAATGCTGCTAGGCTCCAGCTCTTTATCTGAATCTTTTCTCACAAGGAAGATGGATTACACTGGCAATTCAATTTCTAACAAAATCTCAATATACTTGAAGGAATTCCAAGATTGCTACTGGGAATACTTCAAAGCTGTTTTTCCATTGTGGTTTACAGCGATGTTTAGACTGAGAAGACTTGAAGATGCTTATACAATCAGAGATGATTATTTTGAGGCAGGAAAATTTCAGGCTGTCTAAACATAAAATGTCATGTGTTACAAAAAGTCATCCCATATTATTTGAAGGAAAAACGCCCGCTATGTTCTTACAGCAGGTAGAGAGGAAACCAGTGCTTAATTTTCATGTTAAAGTTAGCATGAAAGAACTACCTGACAGAACACGGTAACAGATCCACACAGAGGAACGGCAGGAGGTACATTACTGAAGTGAAAATATTTGTCAAATGCACCAGCTACTGCGTTTTTAATGAAGAGTTTACTTAAGAGTTTACTTCTTAATTAATCAGAAATTAAGTACATTTCTGATCACATCTTATGATCTTAAAATTGCTAGTACATTAGGAGATGGGTTTGCCTAGAAGAACAGACTGTTTCCGATACAGAACTTTCCACACTAATCAACCTTTCCTTCACCTATCAGCCTACACAATATTCAAAAAGGAGAAATGCAACTTTTATAAAAAACATTAGATACTTGATAAATTAGATCGCCTAATGTGGGTGGGAATTAGATTTTGCTCCTAATTCTTTTGCTAGAATCATTTTGGAGGTAAAAATATTGAGCAAAAAGTAGATTTGGACTCAGTAAGAAAAAAAACCACCTTATTAGTTTAAAGGTGTTGTCTGATAAGGTGATTAAAGATGATAAGGTATTAAAGATGATACAGAGATATTTTAGGATGTTTTAACAAACTGCAACCTCCACCATAAACAATACATGCATAATTCTCCCCAACTTCTCATAGTAAGTCATCATTGTAAATTACTTGTTAATATTTTGAATCCAATAATGATTCCTCATGTTCTGCAAGCTCAGCTATCCCATATCACGCTGGTAGAATAACCCTATGCTGCTGTCATTAATGTTATTAAAAATAAACTTGTAAGGGCAACCTGATGCTTTCCTCCTAAATTAAATGCTGCAGTTCCAGAAACCAGTTTTTACTGGTTCTTCTGTAACATACAGAATATATAGGAAAATAAGTATTGATTAAAAAAAGTGATACTTTACAGCATCAGATTTACTGGGAGGCTTTATAGCCTAAAAAAAATCAAGCATATTAATTTAAGTTAAATATATCAATACAGTGAAGCTCAGTCTTGCAGATTTATGATACTCACATGGCTTAAAGAATCACGAGAACAATTTTCAAACAAGTGACAGTAAATCTGAGCTGCCATTTTTTAGATTTTCAGGTATCATTTTCGATTTGCAGCATTTTTCTTCAAAATAGTATGTAATTATTTTTTCCTACACCCTCAAAAAGAAGTGGCCACCTTACACAGAAAGTGATGTGCACTCAGACTGTTAGATACATCACAAAAAGTGAGTCTGACAATCAATGAGGCTTATAACTATGAATCTTATTCTTGGAAAGTTGTCTTGAAGCTCGACAATGCTTGAACTCCAGTCATTAGAATAACAGCAAGACTATATTTTATAAAGACAGTGCAATGAGGGGAAAAAAAAATTGTTCTGTATTACATTCCAGGAACAACTATTTATTTCATTAGAAAACCCACATATAGACAATTTCCTATTTGATCCAAACAACTGTCACAGTTCACCCTCGTCAAAGAGTACATACAATGAACAGTTATTTGCTAATGGACACTTACTTTTGGTCACAGTTTGAACAACCTTGGCTGCTTTTTACAAAGGAATCAGAGTCTATCAAAGTAAGAACTGATCTGAGAGAAAATTCTAGAAAGTTCATCTATCTTTTCTCTGTGCTGCAAACTAAAACCAAAGAAGAATTAAAGGCAATGGCAGTTGTGTATAAACTTTGTTTCTTTCTAACTATGCTTGAGTCAATTAGTAGAGCCTCTAGACTTACAACTTGGTTTTCTTCTTCCCTTTTTAAACTACAACTTGCATTCTATTTTGTGTTTTAATTCATTAAGCTAAAGAATAACTTGCAAATTAATTTGATGGTTTAGGGTCTTCAAATACAAAGAATGTTCACCTGCCATATGAAATTCTAAATATTGTGTGTCAAAGCCAAAAAATGCCTTGGCAAAAGCCTGAAAAAAGTCCTTTGTTTCAGATGTCATTAATGAGGCCTACTTAATATTTAACCATGTCAGGCATTAAAAGAGGCTTTTATCTTAATCCAAGGAAAGCACTAGTTCAAATAGTAATTACAAAATTTGTTATAAAGTTCCTAATGATTTCAAGAAAAGGAAGCTTAGCCTTACTCGGAGAACATATTAGGGAAGGAGGATAAATCCCATCACAGAACTGCAAAAATCTCAAATAGAAGTCTTACAGCAAAACCTTGCGTGTGGGCTGGAAACATTAAGTACTGTCTTCATTTTTCAGGATAACTGTATATGAAATCCATTTTCTCTCTCAGGAATGGTATGGAATTAAATGATGTTCATAATTTACACCCTGCTCTCAAGGAATCCAAGTTTGCAATTAAGGGAGCATTAAACAGTAAGATTAAGACGTGCAATGTGTCTCACTCTAAATATTAGTATAGGCAGCATCTGGACCAACTTTTAGACAGAGGTAACTCTGTGGGTGCCTGTGCATTACTGTTGTCACTTGGGTAAGGAGTGACCTTGTGAAGTGACCACTTCAGTGGCCCTTACTGTGCTTTGGTTCATCAATTTTGTGATTTGCACTCCAGCCTCAAATGGGCATTCAGTCCACGTGACCAGACTAGTGCTAAGTCAAAGTGAAAACTAAACGACCCTGTAAGGTGTCTTCCAACGTGGACCTTGGTCCCACGGGACCCCTGTGCTCGCTGTTTCAACTACAACTTCAACTTCAGTAAGACTCCATGGGGTCAGTACTGTTGAGCCACGCTCTAGCTAGAGTGGTCACTGCCTGCAAGAGAGACAATTTAATCCTCTTGAAATACATGAGCCTAGTCCCTATGTGTTTGGGTTTTTTTTTAAAAAGCTTGAAAAAAACAACAGAATCACAGAATGGTTGCAGCTGGAATAGATGACTGGTGGTCATCTCATCCAACGCCCTGCTCAAGCAAGGACACCTAGAGTCAGTTCCCCAGGACCACGTCCAGATGGCTTCTGAGTATTTCCAAGGATGGAGACTCCACCACCATTCTGGGCAACCTGTACCAGTGCTCAGTCGCCCTTACAGTGACAAAGTGTTTCCTGATGTTCCTGATGTTCTTGTCCTGCCACTGGGCACTGCTCAGAAGAGCCTGGCTTTGTCTTCTTTACACCCTCCCTTCAGGTATTTATATACATCTAGAGAAAATCTCAAGGAAGTACACTTTATTGGCTAAGAAACTACAAGCAAACAAGTGTTCTTTCCTAAATTTACTCTAAAAAAATTCATGATTTTCAAGGCAGCTTGAGAACCTGACTCTGGATTTCAAATAAAATGCCACATTAAAAAAAAAATCTTAATTTGCCGCTCTGGAAGATAATTCTCCCTTGAAAGTGTATTACATTTTTAATACAAAATTTAGTAGACATGACAGTTCAAACAAGTAAAATGATAAAACCATGAGGAACGGACTACTAAAATGACATTTTTTTTCCTGAACACATTTAATTTAAGACAAAGGATAAGTTCTCTGAATTAATAATACAAGAAGCTTTTTATAAAAAAAAAAAAAAAGAAAAAGGGTTTATAACAAGGTCTTTCAAACACTCTTTTGAACCATGTATTAAGAGATGAAGGCTAATGTAAATGTCCTGTGAAACACATCAATTATACTTAAAGTATACATTTTTTTTTCTCCCCTAAAAAGCTCTAGAGGTTATAAATGATAAGAAATAGTAATAATCCAATTGGAAATACAAACATGCTTGCAGCAGATCGACTGGTGTTTAGGGAAAAAAGCACTTACAAAGGACTGGGCCTCTTAAGTTCAAATCCTTGAGGCAAAACAGCCCGAAGGGTCAACAACAAGAAAAGAAAAGCAATGTTCTTCATCTTTTGATTTGAATTCTCAGGAGGTTTGTCTGAGAGAACAACTGGGGGAGAAAAATTCCACCCTTTTAAAAATCACCCACCCCACTTAGTGTTTTAATGGGTTCTTACACAAGAACTATCATTTTATTGGCAGGTTATTAGATTTTGGACCGGTGTCATTTGACTAGGCCGGTATTAATAATAATGTGTTTTATGCGGTGCAGGGTCAGATCAGTAAAGCGCTGTTAACAGATGACAGGTTTGATTACCGTTGGCTTTAGGCAAGACATATGGATCCCTTAGGAACAGCAGCACAGGCTGGTGGGACAGTTTGCTGGAAAGGTCAAGAACAGGGATGTCAGTATCAAGGGACAGCAAACAGAATATTCTACAAACTAGCTTTGATACAGTGAGGTGGTCGAGCTGCGCAGGAGCCATGCCAGTGCGTTTCTGCACACCAGTGCTGCCCAAAAAGGGCAGGCTTCATCTCCTGGAGATGCCACTCCTCAGCCACACAGTGAACCATCAATGTGTAGCTGGAAGTCAAGGGGCTGCATGCAGGAGGGGCAGCTTGCAGCTGGCTTTGAGACCTCCCGATCCTGCTTTTCTCGCCGGTACTTGGTGTAATGCAGGCTACGAGGTCACCTACAACGGGGCTCCATGGTCTATGGGCTCTTCAGGCCACCAAACAGCCTCGAAATTTCACCATGTTCTTCCAGCCCCCCAGGTGGTTGCTGTACACCTCACCTATGGAGATAAAGTCCTCAGAAGTCCCCTCACAGGGCTGTGTCCCACCCCTGGTCAAGGTACAGATGCCCTTCCCCAGCCAACACCACCCCTCTCTGCTCTGCTCTGTACATACACGTGCCAAATAGTGCAACGACATATACACAAAGCTCTATCAAATGCATAGGCGAGAAGCCAAACCTCTAATTCCTTCTGCTAAATCTTCTTGCTACACAAAATACACGTCAATGAGTAAAAAACATTCCCAGAAATATTTCAAAGCTAGCAGTATTCTACTAGGGTTTTGTAAGGAAATTTTAAATACAACATAAGGATGCTCAATTCACACTACAAAAGGATGGATCTAGCACAACTGATGAAACTAGCCATAATATTTAACAAACACCTCACATTTTAATGCTAAACTACTGCTATTTTGCAAGGAAAAAATACAGTGAATGCCAACAATTTTGAGAAATTTATTAATCTGGTGTCCTAGAAAGAATAGGGACCAAGCTCACCTTGATTCCTCAGATTCTGTTTCATCAAAAGAGCTGCAAGTAAAGTGAGAGGAAACTTTGGTTACAATAAAATCAACTTTACAATAAAAAAGACCCCAAATCCTTTAAGAACCATCAAAGAGAGCAACCTTATTCTGATCAGTAGCCGCATAACGTAGTGTGATGGGAACGAATGTGGGAGACCGTATCATTTTACAACTACCACTACTTGGAAATGACAGCATCCATTTTACTCTAACAGATTCACGAGCACATCTATCTATCAGCCTATGAAGCGATGGGGTACAGTCCCACTGAAGGTATTGTCTGATGTCATTAACTACAAGTGAAAACTACAAGTCTGTTAGCTTCTGACTTGCTCTGGAGAACGCCCTGGGCCACAAACACCTCTGAGTGTAAGAGGGCCTCAAAACTATTCCCACTTTTCTCAACTCGCCTTCTCTCCACTGCAGATTAACACAGCCTCCCCCCAAGCGGAAAAAGGCCACGTAGCTTTCTGGGGAGCAAGTTCTGGTAATGCTGCCAGACTTTCCAACTACACCAGCTTGCATAGCAGAAGAAATTATTCTCCCTACAAACCTTACAGCTGCAGATGGTAGCAGAGCTTCCAGTTACACAGTTTTTGGAATTTCTGTAGTCATTACACTCATCATAATCATACAAAGATTCTTTTCTCCCACCTGATCAAGAACCCTTCCCAGAAGAAGGGCAATGGGACTATTGGGGTAGACGTCATCGGAAAGGTGAAAGACCCCATTTTCAAACACACTGAGGGAGACCATCAAATAATCACAGAATGAACTTCTATTTTGTCCAGATACCAGGACCATCAAACACACACAAATGCTTTCTGTGCAACTTTAGTAGGTGTTTATGAATATCCTACAAAATTCATTTCAGTACAAACTTCAAGATCTATGAGAAAATCATATTTTTCTCATCTAAACTCTCCTTTGCTTTCCAAGAATATTACAGTAAACCTCACTTCTGTCTTTGAACAGGCTGGATTTATTTTACCACGTTTTGGGGATATATAAACATACTTAACATGAACCTAATGCCCATTTATTTTACAGTGTTAGAGTTGGCAGCAAGACCATTTTAAGTCAATGGAATTGCATCAGCAGTGAGTGGATATGGGCCTTTTGGCCTCCATGTATTTTTCAGTAAATGAGAGCTTACCCACAGCTTTCTGCTTTTGGCAAGGTAGGTACGTGGCGAACGTTCAGGAAATCAAGAAATATTTTAGGGAGCTCTTCATTTTCTAAAATGACTGTCTGAAAAAAAAAAAAAAAAGGCACAATAGAAATCCAAGTTTTTTAATATTTCGGATATCAAACACTTTTATTCAAGCTACCAAAATATTTTCCACTGGCAACACTTTTCAATTCTTCTCCATTTTTTTACACCTATTTTGGAGTGCTTCATTTCAATAAGAAAACCACAGTTCTTAATGGATCACATATAAATACATTCAACTTATGTTACTATTATTTTTCACCTGCCATCACTGGTGCCAAGCTAGATGCCTCTCAAGCAGAGATGTCTGATTCAGGAACTAAGTTATTGGCACATTCATTTGTGAATAAAATTCTGTTTATTTAAAACATAAAATAAAGCAGCTACAGCTCAGTGCTTTCACATTCACCTCACAGAAGACTCCTGTCTGACACATCAGCAGAAAAGGGAAGTCTCCACTTTGTGCAGTTTTATTAATGCATGCCTTGGTAAATGCTAACAAGGGAAACTCTTTGCTTGGCTTCACGGATCAGCTTACAACATACTCCTTGTATCTGCGCTGTGGCTCTGACCTGCCATGTTCTTCCACAGCAATGGCATAATAGCCGGACTCCATCCTCCTCTGTTTTTCCATTGATGAGATGATTATCAATTTTCAGTAAATTAATTGCAAGTGCACTTAAAAATATGTAGTAACTAAATGAGATGCTTAGGTTCATGTTCATCATGAAAGAATGACTTTTAAAGGAAACAACAGATCTCTGACAGTTTCATAGAAGCAGACCAGAAATAACTGTTGGTCTTTAATTTTCACAAGACAAAACAGTCCATTAATTCAACCAATGTCTCACCTGAAAGATTAAGCACCTATTTATTTACTGTTCATACTGCCACACATTCTGATAAGACACATACTTCACGTGCAAATGAAAGCCACAAGCTCTTCCCTAAAGTTTTCCTTCATAAAGGCCTGGAACTGGAGTGAACATATGCGTGGAAGAAACTTCACTAGATTTATAAATAAAATTACTTGTACAAGTAAATCTATCCATGTTCATCCTGTTCATTTTCACAAATGAAACAAAAATCTTGAGAAGAAAGAAGACTGGTGATGGGAAGAAACATTACTCTATTTACATTCAGGAGGTAACTTATTCCTGCGTGTGTATTCTTTTACTTTATGATATCACTAGGGAGACGCAATGGTATGTAGAGGATAAAAGGACTACAAAAAATCAGGTTGTAAGAGACATCTAGACATCTAGAGGTCATCTGGATTTTATAGCAGGTTTTATAGCAAATGTTTTGGTTATTTGTGTAATGAAAACCCAGTTAATGTAAAAATTACGTAAGATGTGCACAAAGTTAAAGAGAGAAATACATTTGAAAACAAAGATGTTTGAGAACTGGTTCTTTTTTTGTGTTACATTTGCAAATCTGAATTCAGAGTCTACATTTCTTCAACAGCTGCGGCCATCCCTAACAAGTCTGAAAAAAAGAACAGGGAAAAATGCAGCTTTTGAACTTTTTTGTTCTAGAGTTTAATGGATGTAGCAAACAGCGAGGTCTGAAATGTTGGCAAGTGATAAGCCTTTCAGTTCACCTCTATCTGAAGATGCTGCATTAAAAAATGCCACTTTGTTTGCATACTGCAAAATCAGCACTCTGCTGCTGCAAAATTTATCCTGTTCTGCATTCAGGTTATGCACGGAAGGAGGGGTGGAGGTGGATGCATATTCAGAGGGCGTGTGAACTGCATAACAATGCGTATGATTTGCTCAAAAAAACCCCATCTTACTAATTATATGCAACGAAGAACTGCAAAAAGTTGTATAAAGATGTTTAAGGGCATCTGATGCTTACGTGCAACCTCATACTTACACCTCCTGACAGCTTTTTCCAAAACTTGAGCTGCCTGCTGAGGCCGTTGAACAGAACAGTGATTGTCAGGGAAGAAGAGAAGGATACATCACGGTATAAAAGGAAAAATCCCGACAGGTCTTACAAACCTATTTGTTTCTACTTCCACTCACTCCAGATTAATACCTCATTCTGTTCCTTTTAGTTTTTGTTCATGACACGCAGCAAGTCAACCCTAGCCCTGCTAACCCTGCCCCGACCAAATATGTTTCACAAAAAGATGTAAGCAAATAGCATGTGTTTTAGTGTGTTAATCCATAGTTTGTTAACTGTCAGTAACTCTGCTTTGGTGATCAATAAACTTGAAAGTGTAGCATTTGCAGAGAAGCAAAGGCAGTTTCGCACTGCGCTGTATTTTGGATGCTGCCTTTGTTGATTGGGAATTTTGTCATTTCCAAAATTTTATGAAGGGTGGAAAGACTGCATTAAATAAAGGAGCATTTTTCAACTGATATAATGTAATGTGGCATACATTTTAAGGAATTAAAAAAATAAATGAATGTACAAGTTAATTATACTAATCGGGGAAAATTACCTTCTGGCTTGACTTCATTGGCTTCGATACAAAAAAGGGCCAGCACAAAATCCAGCTGTTTAATAGTCATGGTAGGAACCAAAGGAAAAGAGAAAAAAAAAAAAAGGGAACAACAGAAAAAAAGCCAGCCACACTCATTTAGTTGTGTCTGTCTAGGTGCATTTTCTACCTCTGGTGGTGGCCCAAAGTGGATGTGCAGAGAAAAATGTCAGCATTCTTAACTTCCTAGTTTAGTTGTTCAAAAAAATACTCTTAAATTAGAAATAAATGTTATCATAATTGGCTTAATTTACCTGGAACGACTCATGACACAACAGATTTTTAACTTTTGACTGAAAACTTGTAAGAAATACATATTTTGCAAACTTGATGATCTTTAAATAATAGCTGAGTAGAAAAGGAATCAGCAGGTGAAGTCTCTAAACCACTATATATAATTTGTGCTGTAACATGCTCAACTATAGCCTTTGTTCAAGTCAATATATGACATTGGCTTGTAAACATGACTACTATTGTGTTCCATCTGCAATCAGAAACTTAAAGATATATATTTTCAAAGAAATAAAACCTTGCGATTAGTTTGTTAGTAATGTGAATTTCTAACACATCTGAATTCTACCAAGATCATAGCTTGGTAGAGTTTCAAATATGGGCCCAAGAGTGCTAAGTAGACTAATTTAAGAAAAAAACCTAGCATGTGTATTTCCTTCTTAAAATAAATAAAAAAACCCCAAACTAAAACACCTAACACAACCTCTGGCAAGTGATTTGGGAAGTGACTCCAAAAATACATTTTTCAAACTCATTGATTTCAGCTGAACTAAGAGTATAAGCGCCGTATTTTCTTAGAAAATCGTAAAGGGTGTTTATCTGTTACTGTCACACTTTAATGAACTATTTCATGCTTCAGGAAAAAAAAAAACAAAACAAAACACAAGGGAAAGCCTGATGTTTACATCAGCAGAAATGTCTTTTTCATCGGAAGGGTGCAATTATTATTATGTAACACAAATCACAAAAATCCCAATTTCTCTACCTTATCAGTTTCATAAAATCATGTTCCCTAAGGATGTAATTGATTAGTTGCACATGTTCTTTCAGTGACATCTGAAATACTTAATTGTCGGTTATCTTTTCTCCTTCAGCAAGTAAAATATAGTCACAAAATTGCAAAGGGACTTGTTCTGCCTTAACCTTAGCTAGATGCCATCATGCAGTGGAAAACAGTGCTAAAATATCACAGGATAATGCTCTCCAACACGGGAGACATATAAACAGCATAATGATTTCCCACGAGTTTCCATTTTAGAAAATTGTCACTAAACCCAGGGTAAATGGTGACATATCTTCACAGAGGACACTGCAAAATCGAACACTGGCATTCTAGTTAGGTCCAAACCTACTCATCAGCCAATTATAACAGTAACTGAACATCTTTCTGAAAACCCGAACAAGACCACTGTGCTAACCTTAGGAGATCACGCCACAGGAATGCATTGCTTTCACAGATTTTTATTATTATTATTGTTGCTGTTGTTTTTAATGAAAAAAGATTCAAAAATTAATTTATTACAATCTTTTATCATACTTTCTCAAGGCTGCTGGAACAGCTGTTGGAGGGGGAGAAATGAGAGTGGGGAGCTGAGTTGCAAGATTTTTAAGAGTCCTTACAGACTTTTCCATTCAATCGGGTTTAGTTTGAAATGCTGTACTGTTAGGGTGAAAAAGTTCATGACAGTTTTTCCTCTCTTCACAGGGAAAGATGCTTCACAATACCTAATTCAGTGGTGCAGCTAAAATGGGGGAGAAAAAAATCAATAAATTCCAGCTACAGTAAGTACGCTGGAGTGTCAGTCTCCACTGGGACCAAAACCCACATCTTTTAGAACACTTTGGAGTCTATATCCTTCTATTAACCTGCTTTTCCTGAACTGCTTTACACAGTCCCATGAAATGATAAAAAGGTTACCAAAAGAACACATTAACTAAAAACCAAGTCGACGAAGGGACCAGACTTCTAAGAGCAAGCTTACATTTTTTTAAAGTAATAGCAGATACAACAACATTTTCTATTACCCACAATGAAGAACTATGAAGAAACTCACTCCCTTCTTCAGTGTGGATGTTGTTGTAGGTTATCAACAAGAATTATTTCTAAATAAGTTGTCACTGAATTTGTCGTAGTAAGGACTCTCCATTTTTCATTACTACCAGAAACATTCCCTGATGGGTGGTTTTGTAAGAACAGGAGGATGTCATCAAACACGCTTAAAACTCTGTATAAAGAAGCATGCAAACACACATACAATGACACAGAAGTGATGCTCCATATAAAGTACCAGCTAGCTAACAAGCCCTGGCTACATATCAAAGGGAAGTCAACAGTAAGAGTGGAGCTTGAAAAGGAACAAGATATTGACTGTAGGTATTATATGCCAAAATACTTCCAACTAAGATCCAGAAGTTACTAACTGAAAGTTAATGTAAAGTCACAAAAGTAAAAAAAAAAAAGAAAAAAAAGAGTGCAGAGGGGACGTGCACCTCTGAATCTCAAGACTGGAGAATAGTAGAAAAATTCATGCA